CAGGAGCTGCGGCTTCGATCTGTTGAAGCTCGATCCGGGGATCTCCGAAGTACTGCGAGTAGCACCGTAGCTGCCCCAGCAGGAATGTTTCGTCGCACAGGTAAGTATTGATGTAATTGGTCATTTCTTCGACATTGGCCTGTTTCCATGGAGATCGAAAGGAGCATTTCAGGACGTGAAACAGGTTTGTCACGATACACCATGGGCTTTGACGGACTATCTCACGCGACGTGAGTTGCTGGCGTCGACTCTTCAAACGGTCGACCTCATGGTGCAATTGCTCCACAGCTTGTTCAAGACGCTGTTTTCTATTGCGCTGCCTGCTGCGATACCGGGCTTGGTTTACACGACACTGTTCACGACGGTCCAGTTTGCGCAGTTCAGCAAAGCTTGATGACATTGCACCGAATCTACCTTGTAAAGACTTTAATATCCTCTCGCTTGAACGTGGTGAGGCTAATGTCTTCGCAGTGTCCGTTGTGGTAACTTGGTGTGTATCTTCAGTTGGTTGGATGGCGTTTGCTTGTATAGGGTGTGAATTGGAGGAAGGCATAACGGTCCAAACGTTCGTGGGATGGCGATGATCTGACGGGTCACGAGCAAGTACGAGCCTGACCAACTCGTCGCTTAAGTTTCTGAAGGGGTAGCTGTTATTTCCGTTGAAACTTGTTATCGAGTTTGCAAATTCTAGACTGAGTGGTGCACTGGTGTCCATCTCGGACAGATCTGTCACCCGATAGACTGTCAGTTACACTAGGGACCTGTAAACATATTGAGCGATCTGCCAAGAAGTTCACGGATCCCAAGATTTGCAACCGCGTAAACTACCTGGCGGACAAAATATCAGTATTTGGGTTTGCAATCAAGCCACCCCGAACCAGAGATGTCATTAAAAGGCGCAGAATTTTCAGAGATGGTGTCTCCTTAGTCAGAAACCACGCGATGTGGTACACGTTAGTTTATTGGTACGCACCATGTGTGATCTGGATCATCAGCATTGGAGCGGGAAGTAAATTTGGTCCCGTTGTACGCTATTGCGGTGTATATCACGTCATGAATGGCACTACACACATGCAATCAAGAAGGCATTCGTAAAACTGAAAAAATGACTACTGTAAACTGAGTAACGTTACTTAACGTTATTTCCAACATTTGGAAAAGGCATGCGGCAGTTCAAGTAGAAGAAAAGCTCTCCATTCTGCGTCACTATTAAGATATTACAGTAGAGCATGCCAACGACATCATTACAGTCTCTAGTAGAGACTCTCTACGTGTTCATACAATCGCTGCTGTTATTCTCCTGTACTGAACTTGTCTCTTCGGCTCGAAAAATGTAGTCCAGCCTACCGTAATAATGTATAGCTTTGGTGAAAATCTAGGTGGTCCTGGAAGACATAACAGGGTGTGAGTACTAATGTATGCAAACCATATCACTAAGTACGTGTAACCTGCGCTCAATTATCAAGAAATAGCAATAATGATATATATATATATATATATATGTTAGTATATGTTTTAGTATGGTCTAGTACAGTCATTTAATGTGCTAACGCCTCAAATTATATTAATGGTAGGTATGTTGATGAAACTCAATCTCCAGGGGCGCGTTAGTCACAGGGAACCTATCTTTCAATCGTCGGCTTACTGTATAAGTGGATTTCTCTATTGAACTTTAGACCAGTCTTGTCAACGTGTTAGCTAAAGTTGCAATACGATATCAAGCAGTCTTGCAAACAGGAATGCTAGCCGTTCTCTGAAAGAATATCTCAGGGTTATACCAGTATGATTTACTAGCCTACATTAGATAGAAATCGAAGGATATACTTACCCTCATCATTGTAGTTCCTAAAGTCATCAGGATTGGTCTTTACATTCTATTGTCAAATCTTATTAATTACGCATACGAATATACTGTTTCAACACAACGTCTTTATAAATAACATGTGGAAAAAAATACTTACATGTTAGCCACAGTTGCTGCTTTGTGTGATTGCTTTTTGAGAGAAAGGTATAATCTACAGACCCACCCTTACGTGTTCCCCATATATAATCGTATATCTTTTCAGATCACAGGTATCCGTTTATAAGGGGTGGAGGATCTGATTTCTGCATAGAAAATACTGAGATGTTGTTGGCCGAGCATGCTACGTCAGACAGCCCCCGCGTCGCCAGGAAACTCACTTTTAGAAGCACCCAGCTACACCACAAGCATACTTTCGTGAGGGATGCATGTACGAAGTTCTAGCTCACGACGATCGCGGATATATCACCGTTTGAGCTGATGTCGCCATGTCGCGAAGACAGTGGTTCCCTGCACATTCAGAATATTATACTCCCCCTTCTGATAACCTCCGGTATATAATATATATATTATCAATATATGAAGGTCTGTCTCTTGCGGTTGGCTACTTCCTCTCGTCTGTACTAATGCAACAATCTCCACATGCCAAAGTGCAGTTTCTCTTTAACCCCTTAGTTCCCGTTATGTTGGACCGTACTAGTACAACATAATTTTTCGCTGCATCTATGCTATGTTGTACGGCTAAACATAAGAAGTTTTTTTTTACTGAAATTTTGTATTGGCCTTCGTGAAATACAAAAACTAAAATATGTTTTCGCGTGTAAAACGGACAAAAGTACAGGACTAGGTTTACCTTATCTGAGGATTTGGTTGAAGGAACCAGAGTCAGGTACTAGCACCCACCAACCGACAGCAGCTGACCTCTCTCATTTGAGAAAACGCCACGAAGAGAAGAATGGTCGGACCCGTCCCCGCAACATTTTGACGGCGGAGGAGAAGCAACGATGGGCAGAGGCCAATCGTCGGGAGCGAAGTATGCGACGAGAGACCACAAAGGAGATGCCGGGATTCCGTACAAGAGCTCAAGCTCAGAAGAAGGCGGCGGCGAAGGCATCAACGAAGGAGAAGCCCTCCGGTGTGCACGAAAAAGCCGTTCCTGCGGAGGAGAAGACGGGTGGCGCACAAAAAAAATCAAGCCCCTGCGGAGGCAAAGCTACGAGCCGAAAGGCCAAAACGCCAGGCGAGAAGCAGCAGGCTCCGGACCAAGTCCCGAGAATGTGGAGAGCAGCTGGTGACGAGAGAGGGCTGCCTAAGCCGAC